GATTTTTAATATCGTCTAGTGTCTCAACGCAGTGTTACCAATCGACGGAACAAATTCATAACTCACAGATTTTTAATATCGTCTAGTGTCTCAACGCAGTGTTACCAATTGTCGGAACAAATTCATAACTCACAGATTTTTAATATCGTCTAGTGTCTCAACGCAGTGTTACCAATTGTCGGAACTAATCGATAACGGTTATTTTGAATAATTTTGAACAGTTTATGCCACTTCTGACCTTACATAGGCATAAATGATTCAGATATTGGCAAATTAGAACATGTTACACTAGAGATGAAAGCAGAGTCGAGAACAGCGCGTTTATAGCTTGAGTCACGCAGTCGAGTAATTAATGGCAGATAAATTCTAGAACAAGCTTACACCAGCTGTGCTACTGCAAACGTCAATACTGTATACACAATCTGTCACGGTGGTATATGCGAATTGTAATTGGACTTTTATTCTTTACAAACTTCATAATGTTGATGTAATTGTAGAAAGAACAAAAAAACATCTTGCATTCTCAAATCAAGTTAAGATATTCCTTAGACACGTCCCTATCTCATGATAACGAAATATTCACATGTTAAATGACAGTTTTAGCTGAAAAATATGTTTGAAGAGATAACTTGACGTAAAAGTTGACATCACGATTGGTTCAATAATTACAACATATAAATAATTTAGCAAGTTTAATCCATAATTTTTGTGGTATGTCGCTTAGAAAATTTTCAAAAAATTGCGCTTAGCAGTTGGATAAAATGGAGGAGAAACATTCAAATACATAGCCTTCTTCTAAAAAAATTGAAGTTGTCTACTGGAGTAAACACAACTCTTCACATTAACATATAAAATTAAAAACCAGTATACAATGTGGGACTGGTGGACAAAACCGTGTCTTCGGACTTGGATGTTGCTAGCCGACGTCCGCAAGATGTTGCAAGTTGCAAGGTATTTCCGAGACGAGGAGATCCAAGAAATGAAGCAGGAGGTGCAACCCGAGACAACCATGACGTCATCACACTTCCGGTGAGTCTTGGCGCCCTTTTTGCGCCCACTCGGCAAAACTCGCCCATCCACATGCCTTTGCAGAGTCTCCGACAATAATAAGTGTAATAACAGTTACTGCCCTGGATTCCGGACCACTTCGCATTTACAACCGAGCAATTTGATTTACAATCTGGGAAAATAACAGGTATTTAAATAATAAAGACATTTATCACAAACACTAAATTTGCTTGGTATAGTTTGCTACATTGAAAATACTCCCTGGTGTGGACTAGCGAGTACTACGACTATCCGCAGTGCTATCTTTATAATAAATTATACCATTCGTTAATTACAAGGCAAAAGTGGTTCGGATTCTACAATAAACTGTAGGTCTCTTTTCCTTGTCGCTTTTCCAGAGGCAATACGTTTTTCGAATTTCCACAAAAACAAATTCACGATGGACTCTAACCACTAACCAACGTCATAAAAATGATAAATATCTTATAAAGTTTGAGGGATCAGTTACGAAAATATGTAGTTTATTCAATAAAGAAAGTATTCAGAGTATGACTTTAAACACTATCGAACCCTTTACACCTTTACACACACACTTTACACCTTTACACTATCGAAACCAATTTTGGTGAACGAACTTAAACAATGATGTAACAAAGTCAAAAGTTTACTTAGTTTAAAAACAATTGGTTAAACTTGAACGTGGCTGAAGCTAGTAAAATAATTATATAGAAGAGTATCGTCTTGTGACTCTTCTCTTATATACTTCCTCTAAGGGCGGATATAAGAGTAAGAGAGGGCGGATATTTATACAGGGTGTTCAAAAAATGTGGGACCATGCTATAATACGTAGTGATTCCTTGGGTCAAAATAAAGAGAAAATCAAGAACAACATTTTTTCCAAAATCGCTTCGTTATCCAGATATCCGCCATTTTTATTTTTTACATAAAAATTTTTATCTTTGAATGTTTTCAACCGATCTTTATGAAACTTGGCATGTATGTTAAAGTTAAAGGGACCCATGTTAGAAAAAATCCATTTAATTCTTTTAACTTAAATTACAAAAAATTATGGATTTTATGAAAAAATATGTCAAGAATACTTTCATTTGGGATTTTTAATTCCCTATCAAACGATACCAAGTTCAAGAAGATTAAATGAGAAATAGCTGAAATATTAGGATTTTAGTTGTAAAATGGGGTCCCATTTAAAAAATAAAATTCCTAATATTACAGCTATTTCTTATTCAATCTTTTTGAAGTGGCCACGGATAAGAGTATCAATCTTAGTTACTGTCATTTAGCCTGTAAACTAAATATAAAGAGTAGTTAAAAGTTTTAACTGCGAAAGTTCTACTGCATAATTTATGGGTGAAATCGGGTAAGTCTACTAGAGGTCCTTATCGCCAACATCCATGTTGTAGGTTGTTCATCAACACTTTGAACGGATTTATAGTTCGGAAACACATTTGAGGGAGTTTGACAACGTATTAAGGTAATTGAACAGTTAACATAGCGTAGGTTTTTAAATAGCAACCACATTTTTTAAACAAAATATTTTTAAGCTTCTAGGATATAACCATAGTAAACCTGTGCATCTTTTTAACTTCGACTAAATTTACTGTCATTTGTGTTATAACTTATCTTTTTATATACAAAAAGTATAATAATGTTGAGCCAATCAACGAGTATTCCAAAATAGAATTTGGGATATTAAAATTAACTATTAATATTTGAAAACTTAGTAAAAATCTATTAAAAAATAATTGATTACTTTGATAGTTTTTCATTGTTATCATTTAAATGGTTTTAGTGTTATGGATTTGGAACCTTCCTTCACAAAATCCATGCAATTGGCTTGGACTTGGAATCTCACATAAAATACACGGACGACAATCAAACGTAACTCAAAATCAAAATCATTACTCAAAAGTAGGAAATATAATTGTGAGAACAAAAATTTACACGAACGTTCCAATAAAAATAATACGGAAAAAGGTTGATAATTGGTGTGGGTGTGTAGAGTGTAGCGTAGGGGTGATCAGCTGTCTGTCGTTGCAAACATCATCTGGTATGATTGATGGATTGATGTCGATTAACCTTTGGCACAATTTGATTTTCAAATCGATGAGCGTTGGTTGGCTGTAGTAGATACAGTAATTAGATTAAACCATAAAATATCATGGGAGATAAGTAAATCCGTTGAAAACGTCTCTTAATTTTATTCGTGAAAACCAGAAAGAGCCTAATATTTTATTACATAAAGCGAAACAATTTATTTTGGGATACTTTTTGTTTAATTTTATACACGCAAAATGTCTTATGTTTAATTTTAAGTTAGGGTGGTTTAAGATGGTTGGAAGGTGTGTAGACTGTAAATTATTTCAATTTAAAACAAAAGTGTAAGCTGCTTAAGCATTTAATTTGTACATAAGCAGCTACAAAATGCCTCTAGGCTATATTTTGGAGACACTATCGGTAATTTATCTAAATGGTCATTTATATTATGTATTCGTGTTTTGTTTATAATCGAAAAAAGTAAATAAATATAACTACAGATCAAATCAATGCGTTGTTATGTAAATTTCATAACCTACTTTTAACACCAAAACCACATGGTAAAAAGGAATAGTTTAGAAAGAATAATTAATCTATCCTACTACCAATATTTCCCATTAAACTGTTCAAAAATTTAACTCAACTATACAATACGGTATTGAAATATATTTACTAGAACGTATGCATTTAATTTATTTCAGGACCACACTTTTTCGCACCAATGACTAACAACAGATCAAATAAACTACTGTAGCAACATTTTTAGACTAAAGTTTATATATTTATAAAGGCTATAATTTTCTATAAATTTCTATATATATTTTTTATTAATATATTTGCAGTTTACTATTTTGATTGAGTCACATAGTTAAGTTATACAAATTTTCTTCATCGGCTAATGAAACTAAATTTAATGAAGTTTCTTTCCAAGAACTCAACAAACTTAATTGACCTTATTTCAAGACAATCATCTGTTCACACCAATGCTGTGGAGAGCTCTTAAATTGAGATCTGTTCAACACTTGATGATGAATTGACCTATGACTTGAGATCTAGATAGTCCTGATAGTAGAGATCGGACAAACCATTGTTGGGATAATTAACTCTGATAACTGGTGAACTAATGATTTATCTGTCAATAAAAGTTATCAGACTTTTAGTTCTAAAATATCACTTGTGTCCACATCTTAACCGTGCACTAGTTATGAAATCCCTGTTGGAAATCTATCCTTAGTCGGGGTTAGTACAGTAAGGTTAATACAGTTCATATTTGTATACATTTTTCTTCTTTATGACTCCTAATTTTGTATTTGGTAGGATCCAAAACACTCGTTTAAAATTACCAAACGGAAAAGTTCGAGGCAAATTGAGTGATTTGAAATATAGGAATTTAGAAAAGAACCTATACATTGGTCGCCATGTATTCAACAAAATACAAATTTATCGACACCAAAATAAATCTATCAGATTTGGAGTGATATTAGACGTACAAACTGTTCTTTAAGAAAATTCAATCGAATTTCCAATCAACTGAATTTATTTCAACTGGAATAGTTTACCAAAAATCAAAATCGATATCCATTATCACTATTTACACTAAAAGGTCCAAGTGACGTCGGGTTAGTGTATTCCGTTATTACCACGTTTTTAATTTTTCTTAAATGGAGGAGAAAGTCAAGAAGACCAATTAGGAAAATATTCCAAGTTTTGGCACAGTTTGAGATTACAAACAAACTACTGTAGGTTGCATTAGGAATATCGCCAAATTAGCTGCGAAAGCCAAAATATCCGTACAAAACACGTTTTGTCCTAACGATATAATTAAAAAAACTTACCTAAAAATTAAAAAGTGTTTTTTAAATAGAAAAAATATTTGTTAGAACCTAACTGTTCAAAACAAATTTTCAACGTAGTTTGAGTAAGTAAAAATTACTTACCATTTGGCCCAAACGCCTGGGTGGGAGACAGCTGATCTTTCTTCGAGTCTTTACTGTTTCCTGAAAAAAGAAAATAATATTAACTTTGGGATACATGATAGATGACTAATATCTTTCTACATCATCTATCCAGGTGAGAAGTCCCACATTTTGCACCGCTGAAATAGTTAAATTAAGTAACCTGCTTTGAATGGCAAATCATGCAAAAGATAAAATAATAAACGCATTAACATAATATAAACATGTGTACGTAATATAACCTTTTATACTACGAGGGCATTTTTATCGAATTTCATTACCTTTATAAATTCAATAAACCACGAATATCTGAGAAAATTTATAGTTCATAAAAAAAGTTACAGGTTTCAGGGGGACAATTTCTTTAAATCAATATTTCTCTTTATATTTATTGTATTATCGTCGATTTTATTTTTCAATGTGTTCCATTAAAAGCCGTATATACACGCTCAATTCTATTGAACAAATTTTCAACCATTTTTATAGCAAAAATCAGTTTCACCCTACACCTTTAAAAACTTGTAAAAATCAGACTTCTCAGAAACAGCTAGTTCAAGCTTGAAATGTCTGTGAATTGGACATTCAGTTTCTCATTTTAAACAAAGATAAGTTAAGAAGTGTCACTCCTAATTGATAAATGAGTTTGGGTTGGTGTTGTTTCAAAATTCCTGCTAGAACCCGAACGATGGAAGGGGACAGTGTATTCTTAGATCTTGTTCCCCGCCCTACGATTCACAGGGAATTCCGATGATCATCAGGGAAATTCTATCTGCAAGGGGAGATTGAGTTGGTTCACCAGTTTGGTTATTCATCTTACCAGATAGGGGCCGTTTTGTATAAAAGTGTAGCCTACATAGGGATATTGTTTTCTCAAAATTATAATGGACATTAAATAAACGTCATGGAAGAGATGAATAACTTTTCTGAATAACTGAGCCCTTCTTTGTTGATGTAATCTACTCGTGGTTGAGATTATTATGCACAACAAACCTCATCATACTCAACAAGTTCTAAGGTGAATTAACGCTTTTAGTATCTTACATACATCTTGGCGTTCATAAACTTAAGAATATATCCACCGCAGCAAACCTACAGACTAAGCGCATTTGCATTTGCCTGATTAGATTGTAATATAAATCTACTTAAAAATAACACTAGGTTTAAAAATTACCTAAGTACGCTGCCACAAGGAGGGTACCTAATAAAGCGTGTTTTTTAGTAAAATATTAATAGCTTAGTATAAAATAAATAGGTTGGTCAAGTTTGATCAAAATACTTCCATAAACCATTAAACTAAAATAGTTTACATTCCCCATAAGAATTACACGAGAATTTAAAATTTACAATATTTTGAATTTTCTTTTTGAATTTTCTTTCTTTCTTTGAATATTATTTATTCTTAAAGCTCTTTAAAATTATTTATATACGAAATATATTTCAAGCACGATATCTTTTTACAGGCATTAGTTAGCAAAGACAAGAGTGGGGTCGATTTGTACATTAAGCGGTCATACATTGGAAAGTGAAGGGCAAGTCTTGTCTGGCCTGAGACAGTTTAATGGAGGAAAAAGAGCAAATCGCTGCCTAAGACAAGGTCTGACCTTGTCCGGTCAATACAGTTTACACCCCCGCAATATGCATATCTTAACAGTCGAGGAGAAGTGTATTAGACTGCATGAAGTGTAAGTCATACTTATGCAAGGTAGAAGTCGAGAATGTGATAGTATGTTTAAAATAAAATAAAAATATCATACAAGAGACTACAGCCCCTCTACTGTTGGTTCATAGTTGTTCATACGCAAGTCAATGAGTATTCAAAATATAACTAGGCCTAAAAGAACAGAGCGATGCCAAGAAAGCGAAAAACGTTGAAAAATGAACCAAAGATTGTGAAAAAGGGTCTTCAAAGCATAAAAAGGTGCGATTTCTGCATATCTTGGGAAGATGTAAGGAACGAAAGGGCGATACCAAGTAGGATATATTGCAAAAAAACTTGGAAGTAAATATGGTTGTGTGATGAGAGAATTAAAAAAAAAAACATGTCAATCAATCGAATATGCAAGGAAAACACTCATAATATGCTGGCAATACGGATGGGGAGTAAAGCATGGTATACTTAACTGTAATTTGTTTCACTGCCATAAAACATAAAAGCGTAATTTCTTTTTTGAAATGTTAATGGTGTGTGTTGGTGTTACTACCCTTTAGGTTTGTATCTCAAACTTTATTGCGTGAAGGCGGGTTCAATCCCCGCCGTAAAAAAATAAAAGTTTCGACCACTTTCTTCCTCAAAACCGTATCCGATTTTTAAATTTCTAAACTCCACTTGTGTAAACTAACAAAACATCCATATTCAAAACAGGTATATCTGCTACTACAGAATTGGTTTCACAAACATAGGTTGTTAGGCTTCCCATGTTCCGGTGAATGGGTACGGGGTTTGTGGGTAGGGTGGGTTGCTAGGGGTAGCGCGCACACTCACCACCAGGGTCGATGCTGAGTTGAATGACTCGGTTGGGGCCATAAACCTAGAGGGGGCGTGTAGGACATAATGCAGCACCGGAATCTGTTATGTCCATTGCTTTTCAGCTCGATTTAATTGAAAGGACATTTGATTAAATGTAAAGGTGAAAATTTGGTATAATGTTCTTAAATGTGCTAAAGTCACCAGGATCAATTAAACTTCGCTTGGTTTTGAATTATTTTAAAAACATATATCTAAACAATTTAACTTAAATTCATGTAAGATGTCAAAAGTGAAATACTAAAAAATGTAGACATTTTAATATCGGAACAGTTTTTTTACCCTACACAATAAGTCATCAAAACTGATTAATTAAGAAGTTATTCAAAACATAATTATTCCTGAAATTACAATTTTCTCAAATAAATTTTAAGGAACATTTTTTTAGTTTCTTTTTTGAAAAAATCACAGCGATTTCTTGATAATAATTGTTTTCTTTGTCAAATGAGACGTGTTAATTAATTAAACCTCTTTAGATCCTTAAATATAGTTCATTTGTAGTTCTTATATTCTCTGTGATTATTTTGACTATTGTAATATCGTTCATCACAACACACGTTTTAATATTTTACGAATAACATTATTCCTTTCAGAAAGTTTAACACAGACCATTGGGGGTTCAGAGGTGAATTACAAACTTTTGGCATTTCGAGTTTCAAACTGAAAGAGTCGTCCATGTCAAAATGTTTTCAGTTTATTTGCGTATCGGTTGGAGTGGAGCCACTTGTCCCATATTTCCTGCGACATTTTGGGGACGACGGTGTGAAATATTAGCGGACGATGGTCGCTTTGTTTATTTTAGCACTTCTGCTTCGTGTCACCGAGGTTTACGTCATGTTTGTTGAGCTCTTAGTAATTTAAACTAAAAAGCATACCAAAGTCATTCGTTATAATCTCCACTGAAATGGTTAGTCAAAACCAACATCGTCAGTTACTTTCTCGATGAAAAGTTCACCAGGCGAATCGTGTCTATGAACAAACTATAGATGTACAAGTAAAAACATCGGACACCAAGAAGTTAATGTAATATTTGATCGAGTACGCTAATGCATACGACTTATGTCTCCTTGCAGAAAGCTTCCGTGACATTGAAATGAAACTAAATGATCTCCGTGTAGAAGCTTCAGATGTTGGGCTTAAAATAAATGGAAGGAAGACCATGGAAATGCGTATAAATGCACGTAACAATCAAGTCTTGCAGCTACACAACAAAGACATTGAGAGCGTAACTCAGTTTTGTTACCTTGGTAGCATGGTAGGACTGGATGGAGGAACAGACCTAGATATCAAAAGCAGAATTAGGAAGGCCAAGGGAGCGTTTGCCCAACTACGCCCTGTGTGGACATCAAGGCAGATTCTGCGGAAGACAAAATTAAGACTGTTCAACTCCAATGTCATGTCTGTCTTGCTATATGGCTGTGAGACCTGGAAGATTAACAACACAGAAGTGCAAAGCCTACAAGCATATGTCAATAGGTGCCTGCGGTACATTTTGAAAATCTGGTGGCCTAATGTGATAAGAAACGAAGATCTTTGGATGATAACCAAGCAAGAACCAATCAAAAAGATTATCACCAGAAGAAGGTGGAGATGGATTGGCCATACGTTCAGAAGGCCGCAGAGCTGTATAGCAAGACAGGCACTAGACTGGAATCCGCAGGGAAACAGAAAGCGGGGCAGGCCAAAAACAACATGGAGGAGAACCATAGAAAGAGACCTAGCAAGAAGACAGCTGACGTGGAGACAGGCCAAGGCACTTGCTGAGGATCGAGACGGGTGGCGAGATTTCGTCGAGGCCCTATGTTCCACCTAGGAACTCACGGAAATAAGTCAAGTCACGCTAATGCATACTACATACAGTATTACAATGTCAAATTGTTATACAGTGTACATGGTCTATGTATAGTATCAGTATTGATCGTATAGGACTAAGGATTGAGTTGGTGCCTTCATCCTTCTCAAACACAATTATGTGAGGGTTTCCCCAGGGAATGTTCTTGGGTCCATACTTGTTACTTTCAATTACCGGTGTAATAGGTATGGGATTGTCACTTCCATTGGTAAATTATAGTGTGGTGTATATAAATTGTTATTGCGATCAAAACTTGAGGTTAAGAGCATTTAATAGTTAACGTGGTTCGTATTTTTAAACGAATATTCAAAGGATTTTCATTTGTAAACAGGAATCTAAAACGATATTGAACAGGTAACAGTTTATTTAACAATTTAAATCTTCAATATGCAGTAGGAAAATTAACTCCAGTATAAAAGTAGGATTCAATACTTTAAAACATACCACAATTTAAAGTATAGCAAGAAAATGTTCTTGGGTGGTCGCTATCATTAGTTAAAAAAGCAAACGGAAAGTTCTGAATGGGTTCTAGGAAAATCAAAGATAAAACTTAGGTAAACAAGATTGGACTGACTGTGAAAGGAAAGCCACTTAAGATAGCGCTAGGAATCTTGTTGACTGTTATTCGGACCAGAGAATGTTAACGTTGTTTTGTAGATTTACTTT